GCCCTTCAAAAACTGGTCTTATACATTTTTTTTTCTTAAAATTATGCATAAAATCTTTTTAATATTCTTAATCGGTTACAAAAACTTTAATTTTTTTGAGTTTTTTTAATTAGACTTACAAATGAAAAAAGACATTAAAATTGGTTCTCAATTATTTTATTATTTTGTCAAGTCTTCTCTTGCCAGTCTTGGTCAATTTCATTAACCCTCTCCACTTCTTCAGAATGCATTATTAAAAATTTAGCTTTATATATATATATATATATATATATATATATATATATATATATATATATATATATATATCAAAACCGGTGGTTGTCCAAATTAAATTTGGTCCCAATTTAATCACCCGATCATCAATTTTTTGAAAATTTATTTTCTGTCTTAGCTTCAATCCGGTCTAAAACCGGTAAACAATTATTTTTATCCACAAGTAAATCATAAGGCATGTTAAAAAATACATACTATCTACAGAGTATATGCTATCAACTCAACTTGCAACAAACGCAAATTAAAGTCAAGTGACACATGTATAGTACTTTATTATTGTTGCTATATTCCAAAAAGATTTTTTATTTCCATTAATAAGTGACTCATGAGTTCATAAATATTTTCTAAAATATTGAGTCAAACTGATTTTTCAATAATCCGTAATAATTTATCGCGCTACTAGTTTTTCAATTGGAACCAAAATCTTCTTGTACTATATTGTCTACATAGATTAATAGTCAAACTGATAAGTATATAGGTTAAAATTTCCGAACATTTTATTATACTTTGTGAACATTTTTTTTAAAAAATAATCAAGCCTATAAGGAAAAAAAAGAGGTCACCATATGATAGCTTGAGGTACTAATATTTTTTTCTCTCCATATATCTTGCATGCAAAATATAATAAATTGTTAAAATCAATACAAAATAGTAATTAAACTTGTATTCTTAGTATGTACTAGAAGAAGTTTATTTAAGATATATATAATCATGTACGTACAAATGACGGATTTATTGAGGAATAGTTCTTGATCGATGTCATTACATAGAATAAGTCATCAATAAATTAATTAATATATGGATAAATTAGTTTGCGTGGAAGCTAAGAAAGTTTCAAACTTTCAATTCAACAAAAACGGCATAATTTGATTTACGGAATAGTTTTTGATATGCCTTGTATAAATAACCAACACATGCATACATAGTCCATAGTCGACTATATACAGCGAAAAATATAAATTTTGAAAACAAGTAAAAGAGAAGAAAAATCAAAGAAATTAAAACACATAAAAATGAAGGTGGTTGCAATAATAATAATAGTATTGTTATCTATACAGTATATGCCTTCATTAACACAAGAAGGCCCAGCTCCGAGCCCCGAAGTTTTATCTCCGGCCCCTACACCGTTAGGTAACTCATTCTTTCCTTTTTCCGGTACAAGTTTTAATACTCCATACTTCATAATTCTATTATATTATTAATTGATTTCAATGTTTTTTTGAATTTTTCATTACAATAGAGAAAACATCGTATTCATGCTGGAGATAATAAGTAATAAGTAGTTATTGAATTATTTTCCTGGCTCATTTTGCCTTTATTTTAGCCCTAATTTGTTGGTAAAATTTAACGTACATACGTTTAGATTATCTAATTTACTGTTATTGTACGTGTGTTAACCCTCACCAGATCTAGGAGGCTGCTGGGATGGCATCTCTACTTGCTGGATTGATCATGTCAACAATAGCCAGTCATTGCCACAATACGATCCATTGAGCGCGTCGTTTAATATGACAGATTTCTTTTGCTGCTCTCTCATCCAAGAAACAGCAAGCACTGAGAAACCATGCTTTTGTAGCATCAGCTCATATCTTAACCAAAATCCCGCTGTATCTCCCAGTTTTGTCCAGATTTTTACTACGTGCGGCGTTGTCACCTCAATTCCTGCACTTGACGACTTTTGCCTTGGTAATACGAACTGTTAATTAATACTTGTTCGTCTGATTTTATTTGCCACGTTGTTAAATTTGTTCAAATCTAAGTAATCAACTTACACTATCATCATAAACTATAAATTTGGGAAAAATGAAGTACGTATATATGTTTTCAATCAACGAATAAACAATAATTCAAGTATATACAGAGTAGTAAAAGATATGCATGCAATTCTGTATTTTAAATGCCAGTGCTAACTTGATCACCCAAAATTTAACATTTTAAAAAGGATAAAATGTTTTATTAGAGTATAATTAATAATAAATGCCTCATGTAAGGACAATTTGTTGAATGCCCTAAAAAAAAAAAAAAAAAAAAAAGGAAAATTGGTAGAAATATTTACCATTTCCTTTGTAAGATGTGATTAGCTTTCTCTATTTTAATTGTTATCAGTGTGAGATAAAACCTAAAAGGAAGTTTCGTCCCAAAATCATATAAAAACTTGAAGAGTATGTAGCCTCTTAACCAAATATAAAGGTTGATTCTCTCTTTTTTCATGTGATTAGAGACTTAGATCATGTTTGTAAGAGTATTTTTATGGTTGGAAACGGATTCATTAAACCATTACCGTTACCAAGTGTTTGGTTAGAAAAGTTGGTAACAATTAGCATTACATAAGGGTAATGGTTTCCACCCATTTGTTACCTCTCTAAAAGCTAAGGTAAAAAATACTCTTACCCTCCTCAAACAAAAATAAAGAGAGTGAGGTTTAAGTGATTTATTTCCATGTTTAAGCCAAATAAATGAAAAGATAATGGTTAATTAAGTTATTCTTTTCCTTCTCCTTATTTATTTCTTTTCCACTTCATTTTCACTTTTCATACCAAACGCACCTTTAATTAGAGCATATCCCAACATATTTTAACCCTGTGCTTCCAATCTTTTAATTTTTATTATTGGCAAATTCAATCTTATGAATAGTAATTCTTACACCCTCAGCTCCTTCTCAAGCGATAATTATTTCCTTTTGTTGATAAGTATAAAATATTGATCAAGTATATTACAAGTTTACATCCTCCGTTCTTAAAATTAATAATACTTAGACTGTAACACTATTCATCATATTTTTAATATTGACTAGGGTCTGTTCATATTTACCGAACTAAGCTGAACTGATTGGAGTTGAACTGAACTGAACTGAATAGAGTTGAAATGAATATTTTATGAGAAAAGGAAATAAGGAGTTGAACTGAACTGAATTGCTTGGAGTTGAGCTAAACTGAACTGAAATTAAGCTGAAATGAACAGGCCCTACGAAGTATTTAATAAAATAATTTATATATATAAAAAATTAATAAAAAATAATTTATTGTGTTGAATTAGTCCTCTCAAATCAAAATCAAATGTTATTGTGTGGAATTGGTCTCAAATCTCTGAATTGAATGTACTAAATATTTTCAAATATGAACGAATTAGTTGTTAATAATACTTAATGATCACATTATTCACATATTTATGAGGTAAACCTTGTGCATTATCATTTTACACGTCGTGTGTCAGTCAAGTTGTTGCAAGAAATTATGAACAGGGAGATAATTAATTACTACTAATTTAGTGAAAAGTTGATTAAATAATTCAAATAAGTTGTCTATTCAAATTTAGTTTTGAGGATGGCTTATATATGAAGCATTAAATTAAGTAATCAATTTTCTCTCATCCTTAAAAATGCAGGTGAAGCTTTAAGCCCTGTCGCAGCTCCAACGATGTCACCGGGTAATTGCCTTTTTTGCCAATTGAATTTTGGTAGAATGGATAAACTTATATTTCCTCCACCCCAAAGTATTGTATGGTTTTTGAGACGTACTCTTCGAAATGTTTTAACATTAAACTGGCATAGTTGAATAAAATAATAATGGTAGTTACAACTAATTGTACAAGCATTACGTACATCAATGGTACGAAATGTTGCAAACTGTATTGAGTTAAATTTTAACAAATTATTCTGTTTACAATTGCAGGTAATTCTTAAGATTAATACCGTCATACGTAGTATTTCGCTTCTCACACGATTGCGATGACGGGCTATTATCTTCTTATCTTAAATTTTTATGGAGTAAAATGTATATGTATAATAAGGAATGTGCTATTTGACCTTCTAAGTTCTAAATAAAGATTTCTGTATTTGTTTGTGTAATAATTTTCATTTTGTATTATTTATTTTGCAATTATATAATTACAAAAATTACGACCTTGCTACTATATATACTGTCTTAACTTGATCTACTCTTAGAAGTTTGACTCACTTAGCTTGTGATTTACACTCCATTTGCCTCTTTACAACAAATATATCATTCAACTATATATTACTAAAGCTGAGTCATGGCCCGATCCACGAATATATCATTCAACAAAAATTTTATAAATCATGATACTACGTATATGTTAAAGTTATTTTTGTTGAATGATATATTATTCAACAAATATATCATTCAACAAAAATTTAAAGTATGAAAAAGACAAATTTAATAAAACCGGCCCGATCAAGAATGAGACTACTACACCTTTTTTTCATATAAATCATGATACTACGTATATGTTAAAGTTATTTTATTTTATTTTGACTACATATATATAATAATCATAAGGGTATTACAGTTGTACAAATGTACATTTTTTAGTAGGCTACTATATATACAATACTTTGTACGTAGTACAAATGAGAGTTTGTATAATTTTTTCACTCAAATTTTATTATCATCTCTAGCTAATTCTCAACTGTACAACGATAGACTTTTAAAAATATTCACTAGGAAAATGACTAAATTGAATTGAATGAGTCTACTATACGAGCTATCTACCGCCTTCCACGAATAAGAGCTTTTATAATATAAGTCATCCAATAATGAGTCATGGCCGGTCGCGATCCATATCATCTTACGTATATGCTCCTAAGGAATTGGCTGGCTCCTTTCTTGCTTGAGCTAGCATATACATATAATAAACTTATGACGAAGAAGCATGTATCATGTTCATGAAGCAAGCCGGTGAAATTCTAGTATTATACAAAACTAATGGCCGGCACATACCACGGTATATCTACGTGAGCCACACTATCATATAATTCGTACTTTCGTAGCATTTTTCATTAATCAATTAAGTTCAATTCACTCCTAATGTGTCCCTAAACTTAAATACTCCATATAATTAAATAGACGACGATATATATATAAGCCTCATATACAAAACAGACGTTAAAAATTCATATCATATAGAGAGTAAAAGATGTAAACATACGTAGGAACGGAAATGGTTATTATGATGGCGGGAATTGTATTGTTCATGTCAATGCAATTTATGCCCTCATTAGCACAACGAAATACTCCGTTTTGCTGGGACAGGATCCAGACTTGCCGTCGAGGAGCCGAGACACCGATGGAATTCCAGCAGGTGTGTTGCCCTGTGGTATTACAAATAGTATCGAATGAGATGCCATGTTTCTGCAGCATCAAGTCTAGTCTTAATGCGACCGATGTTGATGGCATCTCTATGCTTCTCACCGTATGCAACGTTACTGCTTCTTATAACAAAATTTGCCCTGGTGGTATGTTTTCCTACTATTCTATTCTTTAATGGAGTAACTATTTTATGCCATTATGGTTATTTTTTTTTACAACTAATTAGGTTTCAACCAAGTAACGTTTGCTCAGAAGTTTAATTAAATATAAAGTAATTTAGATTTGCAATTAAAATTGATAAATATGTACTACCCTAGTGGTTGTACTTACCCTGTTCTTTTATATTCTACCCACCTACTATAAATACACAATTGAGAAATTGTTAATATTGTAGACGTGCGGGTGTAAAATAAGAAAGAATGTTAATAATTTTTTTTTTTTTTTTTTTTTTTTTTTTTTTTTTTTTTTTTTTGTGGATGTGGACAATCTATAAATTTTTTACATTTAGGAATATTAACATTATCCAGCATAATTAACAAGTACATGATTTGTCATGCATTTAACATATTTCTAAATCAAACATATCTATCATTAGTTTTGGAAATTAAATGAATTTTTTTTATTACAACTAACTTAGCAATTCTAAAATGAAGTTCCAAGTCCAAGCCCCCCGGGAACTCCATCAGCTCCACCTCTATCGACTACTCCAACACCTTCTGCTTCTTCTCCAGGTATAATCTAACTAGTTTGAGTTTCCTATAATATTTTGCTTCTTTTTTTATAAAACTTAAAATAAAACAATTGAAAATAATGTAATTAAGTTTAGGTTAATAAATCATGTAACTTTTGTTTTGAATTGAAGGTCCTAATTCAAGCCCCAATGTAACTCCTTTAGCCCCACCACCAGGTAATTCCTTAATTTATTTGATGACATATTAATTAATATTAACACATTCAATTTCATTAAAAAATCTGTTTAAATCAGCTTCAACTCGATCATATATATTCATACTTATTAATATTGCATACAACTTTGGTTTGTTTTGAAGGTCCTAATTCTAGCCCTAGTGATACTCCATCCCCAACACCAACAGGTAATTTAATTTAACTCCGCTATTTCATCCACGACTAGTATCAAAATTGACAAAATGTATTCATGTACTTTTATTACTGTGAATTGTGTAAGTAACCTACATTGACATACACAAGGAGAGTAATTTGGTTATTTCATAAGTCTAAGGCCCCGTTCTTTAGAGCTGATTTGCTTTGCTCTGCTCTGCTTTGCTCTGCTGAAATCTGCTCTGCTCTGCTTCAATCTGCTCTGCTCTGCTCTGCTTAAAAATAGTACTTAAAAATAGCTACTTCAATCTGCTCTGCTCTGCCCTGCTCTGCTCTGCTCTGCTCTGCCCTGCTCTGCTTGCTCTGTTGAAATCTGCTTTGTTCTGCTCTGCTCTACCCAGAAGCTCAAAAGAACAGGGCCTAAGGGGTGCATTACTAATATTAGGCCCTGTTCTTTTGAGCTTTTGGGCAGAGCAGAGCATAGCAAAGCATATTTCAGCAGAGCAGAGCAGATTGAAGCAGAGCAGGGCAGAGCAGATTGAAGCAGCTATTTTTAAGTACTATTTTTAAGCAGAGCAGGACAGAGCAGGGCAGAGCAGAGCAGATTTCAACAGAGCAAAGCAGAGCAGAGCAGCTCCAAAGAACGGGGCCTTATTATTATTTGTCACATGTACGTAACTAGCATCAATTAAGTACTTATATAAGTAATCAATCTAATCTATAAAATTAAATTAAACTTCAAGGTGAAGCTTCAAGCCTTACTCCAAATCCAACGACAACACCTCTAGGTAATAATTTCTTTTCTATTTTATTTCAATTTTAGTTGAGTATTTCCCATTTGGTATAAAGTGTTCAATACATACACGGAGTATATATTTATATACATGTAGAACTTATTATAATATATGGGCTATTAACAATTAGTTTTAATTTCAAATTGAAATTGAAGGTGAAGGGCCAAGCACTGCTTTAAGTCCAATCAATCCACCTCTAGGTAATCTCCTACACATATATATTCCCTATCTTTGTGTACGTACATTTTCATTTTTGCCTTGTTTAAGCTTTATAATACGCGTATTAGCTATTAATCTTGAATTGTGATTTAATTAAAATGTCTAGGGTCAGCCGAAAGCCCGACTGCTTTGAGTCCGAATGGAAATACAACAGGTAATTTCTTATCATGTAGTATAAATGATTTTGGTCGTTAAGTTGATTCTTTGACATTTTCTTTTTCCAAAATCTCTATCGATTTTATGCATCATTGACAAAATTAACAAATTTAAATTTTGTAGAAACTGGTGCTTCTAACAAGATTGAGATGGTCGGTCCACTTTCTGCCCTACTTGTTCTCTCGACTTGTGTCCTGTTTTAGAAGATGAGGCGGATCAACATGTATTTTGGTCTTTTGCACAATAATATACTATCTACTTTGTATTTAATTTCTATTGGAAAATTCTTTTGGATTTTCTAATTAGTGTATCATTTGATATGTTAATTTTGAGACTTATTCAACAATTAATTATCACAGTTAAATAAAAAGATTATTTGATTTCAGCTGTATCATAGCACATCACAACCGTATTGTAAAGGACTTTGAACCTATGTTACTTCCTACCTTGAAGTTTTAGGCCGCAACTTGGTGCATTTTGTGTGTGGTTGGTCATACCATATGATCGCTTGTAAAACAACAAAGTATTCCTTATTACACTGATGCAAGCAATCCTTAAAACTTTGATCAAGAAGCTGTTGTATCACTGACGAAGTGACAAAGTAACCCATGTAACTCTAATCGAGTAACCCTTATTTTTTTTATGGTGTTTAACTAGGGGTGAGCAAAAATTCAGGGTACCCTGATATGGAACCGGAACCTGTTCGGAACCGCAGGTTCCAAACCCGGAACCTGTTGATCAGGTTCCGGTTCCGGGTAATAAAATTAGGAACCTGTTGCAACAGTTCCGGTTCCGGGTAATAAAATTTTGGATCTAGAACCTGTAGGGTACCCTGTTAGTACAGGTTCCCTATAGGGTACATGAAACCGGAACCTATATGGTGTTAAAAATTCTAGACAATTAGTGTTGGTTTGTTATATTTGAAGTACTATACTAAAGTTGTAAGCTTTTATTGTGATCATCTATTTTAAAAAAAAAAATTGTCACAATTTATCAAGTAACTATTAAACTTACTTTGACAAACAGGGTACCCTGTTTAGGAACCGGAACCTGCAGGTTCCGGTTCCGGTTCCGGTTCTCAATTCTTAGGAACCTGTTGCAACAGGTTCCGGTTCCGGTTCCTATTTTTAGGAACCTGTTGCAACATGTTCCGGTTTCGGGTCCTGATATTTTTACAGGGTACCCTGCTACGCTCACCCCTAGTTTAAACCGGTTCACCCTATGGCTAATCCGGATTCGGGGATCAGTTTTAGGTGGTTAGATTCCAATCTCTTCCCAATTGTTGTTGGAGGGGATCTAACACGGGTCCTCCCTACCAAGTGTAGTCTCAATTACCACTACACCAACGACCTATTAGTTAATAGAGTAACCCCTATAATACTAACGAAATAATTTTCATGATAACTAGTCACACGGTGTGACTAGCCGCATATAAAGATTTGTGAATTTTTTTTTTTCATGGAATATGATATTTTATGTTATTGAAATCATTAACTCTTAATTTGTTCACCACAAAGGTTAAAATGGTAATGGGCTTTAGAAAGGAGGGAACACACAATTAGAAATCTATCCAATAAGAAATTCAAAGTTTCAATATTGTAGACACCCTGTTAAATTTACACGGTGTCATTGAAAAAGAACTTTATATTTGTGGTTGTACTGTGTTGCATGCATGCATGCATTGAATATTTAGGATTACTTTATATTGCCTTTTAAATAGAAGTTAGAGTTTGTTAATTGAACGTGTTGATTGATCATGAATGCTCGTAATATTATCAAGTAATGAAGAGTTTTGCTGGATTAGGTATGAAGATTGCGTCACTGATCATATCAGAAAAGCCTTGTTTTTGTACCGTATCCACATTTCTTCATAAAATCCTTCCCAAGCAACCAATGTTACTCAACTCTTGTCTATATGCAACATCATCGATTCACTTGCTTCTCTTGACAACTTTTGCCAAGGTAAAAGTTGTTATCGTGCGCGTGCGAATTTATCAACTTTTATTAATAAATTTTTTTACATACTATAATTCTGAGCTGGATCATATCAGAGCATGATGATAGAATATGAAATATTATAGGATATTATGTAAATGATATATTTATACTATATTTATATATATGATGATGAGAATATGAAATATATCATTTACATAATATCCTGAAATATTTTATATTCTATCACATGAGGTTTTATACTATACTTTTGGTTTTGTATGTGTTTGAATCCTCTATAAAAATTATATATTATATTAAATTTGAACTAGCTTAGTATAGTGAGTTGTAACAACTAAATTTATAGCTTTGTATATAATTTACTCCTTAGTTTATATCACATTATTTAGATACACATGATATACAATTAGCAAATAAAGTAATTTCTCTTAATTTTTTTTGAAATCGAGATTGTAGGTGAAGTTCAAATAAAGCCCAACAGCCACAGCTCCTATGATGCCACCTTCAGGTAATCTAGATTATTCTTGATTTACTTAAGTGTGTTTTTATTGTTTGTTGATTAGGTATTTCGTTTTTCTAACAAGATTAAGTGTACTATTATATTGCAGGTGATGATTCTTGAGTTGAACAGGTGCTTCTACCAAGACCGCGATGAAGTATCATTTTGTAGCTTCTTGGTTCTTATCATTTATCAGACATTGATGGATTAAATACTATTATGCATTATATTATAGGTTTTTTTTTTTTTTTTTTTTTTTTTTTTTTTTTTTTTTTTTTTTTTTTTTTACACTACCTTGTATATGAATAAATGTTTGGTCATCCTTATAATTAAATAAAAATAGTACATATATGTGCTTTATTCATTTTTCTTAATTTCTTTGGATATACAATTTACGTGGGTGTACCAACACTATATCCATGCATTTTTATAAAGTATTATTTTGCAAACAACATTCCATTCAAGTAAAGGTTAATTTATTTACTTGGTTTGTCATCATTAACAAGTCCACTTATCCTCGTATATATATTAACACAAACTTTAAGAAAAGGTGAGCTGAAGGAAACTATCTTTCTTTTTTTGGACTGAGCGGGTTAACAACCGAAAAAGAAAACAGCAAAAGAACATCATTAACAAGTCCACTTACATACCCTCGTATATATAGAACATGAAAATATTAATAAAGAACATGAAAATATTACAGATGTTCTTTAAATATTACAAAGGTTAATTTATTTACTTGGTTTGTCATCAGTAACAAGTCCACTTGCCCTCGTGTATATATATATATATATATATATATATATATATATATATATATATATATATATATATATATATATATATATATATATATATATATATAATCAAGCCAATAACATAAGGAAAAAAAATGTTTAACATTTAATAGCTTGAGGTACCTCTATAATTTTTTTCACTCATATATTATGCATGCAAGTGCAACTTTAATGAATTTGCTTAATTCAAAATAGTGGTCAAAACTGTATACCTAGTATATGCTAGAAAAAGTATACAAGATATAATTATGCACGTGAAAATGACGGATTTATTGAGGAATAGTTCTAGATCGAAGTTTACAAGTTTTTTTGGATGAATTTAGTTTGCTTGGAAAGCTAAGAAAGTTCCAAACGTTCAATTCAACAAAGACGGCATTATTTGATTTACGGAATAGTCATAATATGCCTTGTATATAAAAAAACCAACACATGGATATATGGTCTATATAGTCGACTACATACAGCAAAATTAAGCATAAATCTTGAAAGAGAAGGGAAATCAAAGAAAACACGTAGACATGAAGGTGGTTGCATTAATGATAGTATTGTTATCTATACAATTTATGCCTTCATTTACACAAGAAGGTCCAACTCCAAGCCCCGAAGTTTTACCTCCAGCCCCTACACCATTAGGTAACTGTAACTCATCACTATTTCCTCTTTTTCGGTGAAAATTCTATAGTGGTCGTTTGAAATATGACTATCATAATATTTTAATGATTATATAGTTCATAATTAACGTATTTTTAACTAAGTGATTAATTTTATTACTCTATTTTTGCTGTAAAATATTGTTATAAATATTTTTTTCATTTATAAAATTTTTAGTTTTATTTATGTAATTGTTACTCTTATTTTATAGTTTCTTAAAAAATATTTATTTTATGTTGGATTAAAATTTTCAAAAATTATATTTGCATTGTAGAAATTAAAATACTAATTGTGTCCAATTTATAGGGTGAATAATTGGATCGCTCATATTATTTATCATTAAAATAATAAGACAGTTATATTTCAAACGACCATTGTAGAAACATCCCTTTTTCGGTAGAAGTTTTAATACTCCGTACTTCATACTTATATTACATTATTAATTGATTAAATAATTTTTGTATGTCTCATTACAATAGAAAAATCGTCGTACGCATGGAGCTAATAAGTAATAAGTAGTTATATTGAATTATTTTCCTTGCTCCCTTTGCCTTTTTTTTAGCCCTAATTCATTGTATTTTTGTGTTTGAGTTAAAGTAAAATTTAACGTATCTACGTTTAGATTATCTAATTTACTGTTATTGTACGTGTGTTAACATAACCCTCACCAGGGCTAGGGGGCTGCTGGGATAGCATCTCAAATTGCTGGATTGATCATATCAACAACAGCCAGTCGTTGCCTCAATACGATCCATTGAGCGCGTCGTTTAACGAGACAGATTACGCATGCTGCTCTCTCATCCAAGAAACAGCAAGCACTGAGAAACCATGCTTTTGTAGCATCAGCTCATATCTTAACCAAAGTCCCGCTGTGTCTACCAATTTTGTCCAGATTTTAACTACATGCGGCATTGCCACCTCAATTCCTGCACTTGACGACTTTTGCCTTGGTAATACCAACTATTAATTATTACTTGTACATCTTAACCTCTCGTATAAATTTATTTGTCAAATTATTTGTTCAAATTAGGGTAATCAACTTACGCTATCATCATAAACTATTAATTTTGGAAAAATGAAGTACGTGTATATGTTTTCAACCAACGAATAAACAATTTCATGTATATACGGAGTAGTAAAAGAAATGCATGCAATTCTGTATTTTAAATGCCAGTGCTAATTAATTGATTACCCAAAATTTAACATGCTAAAAAGGATTCAATAGGCTTATCAGAGTATAATTGATGATAAATGCCTCATGTTATAAGGACAACTTGTAGAATGCCCTAAAAAATATATATAAATAAATGGTACATGTGATTAGCCTTTTGCTTTATAAGTTATGTTTAGCTTTCTCTATTTTAATTGTTAGTTATCAATTTTAGATAAAACCTACTTCGAAAAAGGAAGTTTGATCCCAAAATCATACTTGATGAGGAGTATGTACGTAGCCTCTTAACCAAATATAAAGGTTAATCCTTTTTTTTTTTTTTTTTTTTTACTGTGATTAGAGACTTAGAGTGCGTTTTATTCACATGATTTTTACTTAATTATCTGAACTTATTAGGCCTTATTAGAATTTATTTTAATTATAAATTGATTTTGGGTAGTCCTGATTAACCCTTATCACAACTTATCTGTACTTATTTTTCCTAAACTTATCTATCTGAACTTATTAACCCTTATAAACTTATATATATTTCCTGATATAAGTGAAAATAAGGTGAATCGAACATGTTTGGTAGGAGTATTTTTAGGGTTGGAAAAGGATTCAATTAAAACTAACATAACTGTTACCAAATCACCAATTGTTTGGTTAGAAAGGTTGGGTACATTTTCATGTTTTCCTTGATTAAGCTTTATAGTTCGCGTATTAGCTATAAAAATCTTGAATTGTTATTTGAAATGTGTAGGGTCATCAGAAAGCCCGACTGCTTTGAGTCCGAATGGAAATACAGCGGGTAATGTCTTATTATGTAGTATAACAGCTTTTAATTTGGTCGTTGAGTAGATTATTTGACATTTTCTTTTTCAAAATCTCAATCGATTTTATGGATTATTGACAAAGTTAACAACTTTAAATTTTGTAGAAACTGGTGCTTCTAACAAGATTGAAATGGTTGGACCACTTTCTGGCCTACTTGTTCTCTTGACTTGTGTCCTATTTTAGAAGATGAGACGGATCTACATGTATTTTGGTCTTTTGCATTATAAGATACTATCAATTTTGTATTTAATTTCTTTTGGAAAGTTCTTTTGGATTTTCTAATTAGTGTATCATTTGATATGTTAATTTTGAGACTTATTCAACAATCATCACAGTTAAATAAAAAGATTATTTGATTTCAGTTTTATCATAGCAGATCACAACCGTATTGTAAAGGACTTTGAACCTATATTACTTCCTAGCCTGAAGTTTTAGGCCGCAACTTAGTTCGTTTTGTGTGTGGGTGGACATACCATGTGATCGTTTGTAAAAGAACAAAGTATTCCTTATATTATTACATTGAAGCGAGTAATCCTTAAAACTTTGATCGAGAAGCTGATGTATAATTGACGAAGTAATATAATCCATGTAACTCTAATCAAGTAACCCTTATTTTGTTTTGGTGTTTAACCTAGTTCACCCTTTAGCTAATCCAGATTCGGGGATCAATTCTGGGTGGTTAGATTCCAATCTCTTTCCAATTGTTTTTGCGGGGGATCGAACACGGGTCCTCCCTACCTAGTGTAGTCCCAATCACCACTACCAACGACCAATTGGTCAATCGAGTAACCCCTATAACGGCCAATTGACCAGATTAGTAAATAAAACAGACCCTTGGCGACAAATTGGTAAAAAAACTAACCTTAAGTGACAATTTGGTAAATAAAATAATCTCAGGCGATAATTAACCCAAAAAATGCAAAAATTTTCGATAAGTTACTCGCGAATGCTTAATATAGTTCGTTTTTCTTGTTATTTAACCAACCCTTTTTTACGGAAATAACAATTTGAAGAAAAAAAACGTTAAGTATAAATTTTCACTTAAGTTTCATACCCCTTATTAATGAAATATTTTTAAAAAGGGGTTGGAAATAAAAAGGGATGACATGTAAATTCAAAATTTTAAATGGAAAAAATAAATTTAAGAACACAAAAACAAATTAAAATAGGATTTTTAAAGAGTTTGTCGGGAAAAAATAGATTATTTGGTCTAAATGTCGCCAGAGTTTATTATTTTTACCAAATTGTCGCATATTGTTAGCTTTTTTTTACCAAATTATCGCCGGAGTAATTTTTTTACCAAATTGTCGCTAGAGGTCTTTTTTATATACCAATCTGGTCAATTGGCCCCCCTATAACACTAACGAAATAATCCTCACGATAACTAGTCACACGGTGCTGATTTGTGATTTTTTTTTTTCATGGAATATGATATTTTATGTTATTGAAATCATTAACTCTTACTTTGTTCACCACAAAGGTTAAAATGGTAATGGGCTTTAGAAAAGAGGGAGTACACAATTAGAAATCCATCCAATAAGAAATTCAAAGTTTCAATATTTTAGACACTCGATCTGTTAAAGTTATACGGTGTCATTGAAAAAGAACTTTTTATGTAATTATTTATTTAATCCATTTAAAACGGACTACTACATATATATACATAACATGTCAACATATATATATATATATATACACATATATATATATACATATATATATACATATATATATATATATACATATATATATATATATATATATATATATATATATATATATATATATTGTGCAAAACTAATAAACTAATCCTAAGATCATTAATTTATCATGCCTGACATTATCCCAATAAATTCACTACAAACGCAAAACCCCAATGCAAATGAATTACTTTGGAAAAGCATATTCCTATACATTAGGAGTAAAAAAAAAAAAAAAAAAAGTGAAACAAATATTCCAACGCAATAAGGTACTCTGCTTTTAAATTAGCCAACTTGGTGAACAAGAATATAGGGCGTAATAAAAAAAAAGTGAAACAAATATTCCAACGCAATAATGTACCCTGCTTTTAAATTGGCCAACTTGGTGAACAAAGAATATAGGGCGTAATATTTTCTTCAAAAAAAAATAATAATAATAATAATAGGGCGTAATATAACAGTATGCACTTGTACATTTCTTGCCAAGTTGCCATTGAACAATTAAGAAAAACGTCTTCGTGATTAGCACTTAATTGGAAAGAGAATAGTTCAATCTAATTATATATTAGCACTCAAATTTCATGACGATAGAGTACACCTTGAAACATTACATGTACCTTACAAGAAAAAACATACGCAAAATTGAACAAAAAAAAGGAGAGGAAAGAAAGAATATGATCATGAAACACACAAAAATAATGGAGGTGGTAATGGTGGTTGGAATAATATTATCGTTGTTTATGCCATCATGGGCGCAAGAAGGTCTACCTGGGGATTGCTGGCAGAGGATTGCGAATTGCACAAGTAGCGCCTCGCCTGGAGAAATCCAACAGCAGTGTTGTCCGGTGATCACTGAAGAGATAAGCAATGAAAAGGAGTGTTTTTGTGGCGTGAATGTTCTTGCTCTTCAAAATGATACAATTGCCGAGACCATATCTGACCTACTTACGCTTTGTAGCTTCAATTCTTCTTTTGATACATTATGCCCCGGTATTATTCATAACCCTCTACTTTTTAAAATTCCTTTATATCAAAAAAATTAAAATAAATACGTTAACGTAAGTAGCCTTATCTTTTTAGGCTTAATTCCCCCAATTAGGGTTTTTTTTAATGAAAGTCAAATACCACTTATTCTCTATAATACCCCTTAAAAATTACATACAAGTACTCCATGCATTTCCAATAGTTTAATTTTGAATATTTTGATTCAATTATAATTTAGAAGTAGAAAAAAAATTGTTGAGTAATAATTGTACGTAGATCTATATTGAATTCTCCTAAAGAATAATTTGAAATATTGAAATAAAAATTATCTATATACATAAACCAATTTGCATAGCAAGGTAATGTTTTTCAAACCTGTAATTAGATTAAATTCACATGTCTCTTATTATCCAATAAGTGATAACTCACATGAGTTTCCACGTCTTTAAGGGGAATTTAGCAATTATTTACATATGTGTTAGGCACTTAGGTTGTTAAAGTCAGGCATTACGACTGGTCATTATTGATGAGTAGATGACATTGTCAAATTCACTCGCAACAGTGAAATTTCAAGAGGCGCCGTGTTGGAAGCAAATCAATGATTGCATCGGAGGAAATGTTAATCGTAGTGAATCAGAGCCAAAGTTTGATCCATCAAGCCCCTTGTTCAATGCAACCGAACTCTTGTGCTGTTCAATGATGCAACAAACAGCAAGAATTGAGAAGCAATGCTTTTGTAGCATCAATACATTTATTCAAGAAAATCCCTCCTTTGCTGAAAATACTACCGATATCTTGTCTGTTTGTAGCATTGCCGGTTCTGTTGATTCTCTTAGCGGCATCTGTGAAGGTAATGTATTACTTTTTCTTCTCTTTATTATTATCCAAAATGACCAATGGTTTGAAGAGGTAATCATAATAAACAACACAAAAAAAAAAAAAAAAAAAAAAAACACACACACATGAAGTATATTAGTAAAATACTAAAATAAAATGTGGTATTAAGCACATAAATAAATAAATAGATTTATATTTTTGAATTTATTTTTTTCCCTATAGTTTTAAATTTCTATTGACTAATCTTCTCCTTCAAATTTAAGCAGAAAGTCTAGCTCCAAGTCCTGCACCAGCACCGGCTCCTTTGTTGACAACTCAAGGTAATTTTATTTTTATTACTACCTCCGCTTCTCATTACTCGCAACAAAGGGTATTATTTGTGAGACATAAAATATTCGTTTATTGCGAGTAATGCGAAGCAGAGGTACTATTATTTAAAACATATTGACAAATTAAATAAGTTTTGATCACATTATAATGTCAAACTAACTTGTGGTACTTAAAATTTGAAGGTTCCGTTGAAAGCCTCAAAGCTGCTAGTCCTATAACGGAAAGGAGCAAAAGTTCAGGTAATATTCATACTAATTAGTTTTGATATAATTACATCATTCTGACTTTCATTTATACCAATATAAGATCTACACTATTCCCGTTCAAAAAAAAAAAAAAATCTACACTATTACTATCTATAATTATTTATATGTAAACATTATATAAAGTTAATACTTCCTCCGTTTGAGAGTGAGGGATAGCTCAAGTGGTTAGAGCTTCCCTCCCGTCTCCAGGAGATTTTGGGATCGATTCTCAACCCCCGCCCTTGTGCTCTCTAAACACCAAAAAAAAAAAAAAAAAAAATTACTTCCTCCGTTTCATATTAATTGCAACACTTTGACTCTTGCACTATTCATACGCTTACTTTGACTATATTTTTTAACCATATATATAAAACACATACGAAGTATGTTGCAATGTAAAATATTGTTGGATTAGTCTTTGAGTGTATTTTCATTATATTAACCTTTTATATTTCTTAATAATTAATAACTACAAATATTAAGGGTCAAAGTTGTGCATTTACATGTGTGCCGGTCAAATTAATGTTGCAATTATCATAAAACAGAGAGAGATTATTCCGTAGTTTGTGAAAAATAACATATTTCTTAGTTCAAATAATACTCATATGAAACATGGAACTAATATATTGAAAAAAATCTCATAATATTTTATAAGATATTTATTAATTTTATATATTATGGAGTAGTTAGTATTCCATAGAAAATTGTGAATAAATTTAAACAAGTCAATAGTGTCAAAAGTTAAAATAATGTAATGTTTTTTAAATGGATGCTACCAAATGACGAGGGACTATAAACTTGGGTCTTTATTGTTTTTAGGAAAAATTGTGAGAAAAGTCCTTTTAAGTAGGCGTTTTTTTGACAAAGGCCCTGTTATTTTAGATGAACTACTACAAGAGGGGGGGTGAATGGTAGTAGGTTCCAATCGCGGAACTTATGCGGAAATTAAAAACAAAACGTAAAGGAACTTAAAGCACACAACAAGTTTTACGAGGAAACCATCCAGTGCCTAACTGGAAGTAAAACCTCGGCCCTATTGGGACTTATAAACAAATTCCACTATAATAGGCAACTCTCCTAGTACAACCTATTACACTGACCTTTGCTTTGAAAGTTCCACCACGGACACTTGACTATATGATAGGACACCTCCTACCAGACCTAAGACACCTCTCAGGACCCTTTTTCTCCCTTTACCCAGGACACTTCCTAGGTGACCCAAGACACCTCTCAGGTTCCTTTCACTCACTGTGCAATCCAAGACACACCCACTCAGGTGACTAACTACCACTCGAATTTTACGAGATTTCAAACTCATACACAAGCGTGAATTTAAGATAATTCACAATCTCACCCCAAAATACAAAACACTCAAAACCCTTTTTCCCATTACAAGATCTCATCGAATATCCCTAAATACATATCTATGAATAGAGAGATAAAACTAATATGTTGAACACTCAAGATCTGTCTGGAACTCACTAGACGTACTGTAACCAAAAACCTGATAGGAACTTTGACCAGGAGGACTGACTTAGCTTCGTGGTGAAGGATAAAACCATTAAGCACGACCACTACACTTCGTCAGCCTCAACTTTGAATGAATGCATATGAGCATATTTATAGTACACTCGAATTATTCATTTCATCTTGAAAAAGATAGATTTTCTGAAAAGATAAGTTTAAAAGATATTTTCTAAAAATCAGTTTTCCGAAAATATATCTTTTTGTTAAGAATAAAAACTGTCAATAATAATAAGATAAACTTAGCATAAAATCAGATTTTATTCAAAACTTATCTTTTTGTTTAAAATACTTTTTAAACAATCTTATCTTTTTCCAAAAGGGATTTATTAGAAGATAAATATCTTTATTCAGTAAAACCAAATCCCTAAAAGATATGCACGTATAAGGTAAATATATATATCATTAAAACCGACTTTTAACGACGTTCATACTTAAGTTCCTATTAGGTTCCTGAACTCTGACAGTCTCTGAGTTCCTGACAAGTCAGTTACTCTAATTTCATTGACTGTTTGGAATTCACCTTGGTTCTATATAGACTTGTTCCAGACCGACTTTTATGTCCAACATACTTACATGAATCCTAGAGCAATATACTTCTATTTCTCTGTCTTCATGTTGCTTCTCTGAAACTCTTGTTCTGGAATCCTGTAGTCTTGATATATTCTGGATCTTAGGGTTTTCCCCAGCATTACACCGAAACCAGGTCGTTACAACCCGTTTTGAAGTTCCTGTTAAGAAACTTCTGGAAGTTCCATTTCTGGAACTCTTCTTCTAAATTTACTTGTATCCTCATGGATCCTCTAAAGTTCCTCTGTTTCAATTCCTACTTCAGCCCTCAACGCTTACTGAACCTGCAAACATCACAACACTAGAAAATCCTTATTAAATGGAAGTTTGCTCAATTCTTAACATCATCATCAAAACCTCATAAGGATCAACAAGTTGTCCCTTTTTGATGATGACGAACTGAGCAAACTTCTGAGAATAACAAAGTAAAACAGAAGGTTAGTTTTTTATTTATAAAAACAATAAAGAAAACTAAACTAAATTAAAAGACTCCTACACATACATAACCTATATATGTATAGGATACTTACCTTATGAAGCTAACTTACCTTATGAAGCTAACATATGTAAACACATGTTTACATAGTTACCTTCATGGTCCCTTAGCCATCATCATGCTTATCAACCATAACACTTATCGTTGTTCTTGTTCCTCTATTGCTTATCCTATATTGCTCAAGTTCCTTACATATATACCTGTCATTACTCAGGTTCCTTGTATCCTGTTCCAAGCATAATTTGCTTTTTCTATGCACAACTTAACATACACGTTAGATAGATAATCATCATTAGTTTATAATCATCAAAACCTAATTGCTCAACAATTTCCCCCTTTTTGATGATGACAAACTATTGATGCTCATCACATATTAAAGGATAATCGTTGTACATTTATTCCCCCTTAGTTTTTCAAGGAAATAACATTTAAACAAGTTAAGAACATACACAAGAACTTAATAGTTAGGAACTTAGCAATACACATCATTTATCAATATATAAATACTTTCAACAATCATGATGTAATAACTTTAGACTTAATTACTGCATACCATAAGCATCATACATATTCTTCCCCCTTTTGTCATTATCAAAAAGGGTATTGTTCCACACGTTTGTTTTTCGTAAATTATATGCACTTAAAGTCATATGTCACACCTACCACCATATAATAAGTAAGTATATACTAGTTAAACACTTGTTGTTCCTAAAAGCCTCAAGGTACTCACTTTTCAAACACGGATACCATTTCCACACTAACTTCCAACTCACAATCCAAAGGCCCAACTTCAAAACCCTTAATTGAACTTGACAAATAAGAAGTTAAAATTCAAGTAAAGATCAGAGCTAAAAAGTTAGAAATGGATTGCATGAATAGACCAATTAAAGCGCAAGCTTAAAGGATATATAAAGAAGCATATGGAACAAAATAAGTAGAGGGAACGTGAAGTGGAATTTGTGCTCTTCGTTTAAACCTTTTGAGATGAGAACCGCCACATTGTACTTTATCTCAAACTCTTGAATCTCCTATTGAACACAACACATATTCATCTTGCCAATTGATAACCAAGTTCCCTTACCTTAACCACCAACTTCTTTGAGGAACATTCTCCATACTGGAACTTAAATAGATTTCAGTTTCATCATAATCAAGTTCCTTCGTCGTTTATTATTGTTCCTTCACTAGCTCACCAAGTATACGAGTACACGACATCAACATAGTCAACATTCTTCATATATAGATACCCAGGAAATTAAATATTTGACCACCCTTTTTCCTTTTCTTTCTCTTTTTTTTTTTTCAAAGGGTGTCATTACGCAAATTTTGCATGATTTCCTAGTATAACACATTTTAAATTAATGAAGAGAATATTTACTCATACACTTGAGTTCCACAACCAGATCTGAACCATTTTGAATTCTTGGTTCCTACCTTATTCCCCCTGAGTCCCTTACCATTCTTCTTCCTTTTCAAGTACTTACTTCTTTCTTTTTCTTCAACTTCCCCCTCAACATGTAATCACCCTTTTTCACGCTTCATTGAACCATAAAAAGATGGTGAACAAACTTAGAGCACATGGGAATTAAGAATAAAAAGTAAAAGTGTGTGAACGGAAAGAGGAAATTGAATTGGGTTAATAAGAATCTTCGATTTTCTAAATATGGGACAATTAAAGTATATGCAACACGGACACACAACTTAGAGTTGTAGAATAATGTTGCGATCGAAGATATATGGCGTAGATGCTTGAAAGTTGGCTAAAAGATAGGTTAGTTCCCTCTGAAATTTAAACAAGTGAGTTACAAACGGTCTGGGAACTTACCTGTCTTGTTCCATCAAAGTTTCTTCCATTGTTCCTTTGACAACTTAGGAACTTCGTGTTTGACAGCACCCATAGTTCTATTATGAGACCTCTAATACTCTTAGGCAAGTGAGTATGTCTTTTACAACACAAGAACTAAGTGTGACACATAAAAAATAAGCGCATATTCTTTACTTTAAGTATAACATAGGAACCCCAGCTTGACATAACTTATGGGAAAAAATACTTTATACTCGTGTTATGTTTCATCAAGTCTTGTTCCATTAAGCAATAAACAAGAATATGACAAATCAAGACAAGACCATAAGAGAATCAATTCACAAATTCACATATTGCATTCATACCAAAAAAATATCAATTCAATTCATCTAATGCCGACATGTGAAAAGGAACTTATATCTTATGTAGTCTCTTACCAGTAAAAATATAACTTTAAAGCATTGGTTGAGTATGATGGCTTACCTTGGAGTTCTTGAAGTGGTTGTTATGTTCCTTGATGATCTCGAATCTAATATGAACTTCCACTTCTAACTCAAGTTCCATTGTCAGTGGTTAATCTTACAAATATATTTTCTTATC